CATCATGTATATCTGGATAAATAAATTGTTTACATAGTTTATAAAATTTGTTTGAATTCATCTGATATCAGTACATGATTAATTGTAGCAAACTGCTAGTTTTGACCAATTACATTATGTGGATAATCGATTAAAATTCGTGTCTTTGCTTATACTTGATTACTGAGTGCATTGATGAGTTTTGAATGAAAAAGTTTTCAAATTTGCTTAAGTATGGTACTTAACCAATTACACTTTTTTCTTAATCTATTAAAACACGTGTGCTTTGAAAACTTGTTTTTTGATAAGTCATAACTACCATAACGGTCATATTTTTAAATGTTATGACTTGCATTAATTACATAATCGATTACATGCAATGATTAATCTGTTATATGTGTAAAATGTATTCTTTTAAGGAAGTATTACTTGTTTAACCGATTACATTAATAACGTAATCAATTAATTTGCGACAATACTTTTATATATATAAATAGACGCATAGCTCTTTGCATTAAACAACTTTTTGAATCATAACTTTCATATTTGATAAAGTTTGTTAAGTTCTTAGTTGCATAAGCGTCTGTTCTTCAAGAATCAAGAAGAATTTCATTTGGAAAGAAATCAAATCAAGGATTCTTGAAGAGTTGTTGTGCTTTCAAAGTCTGATTAATCTACACTGTTAGGTGTTCTTCTGGAAGATCAAAATCGTTTGCAATATGTTGTGATTGTGGTTCCCTGCTGCTGAGGCCAGGAAGAGAACTTGTGGAGTTCTAGTTACTTTGAGTGTGGTATCTCAAAAGGGTTGGCAAAAAGAGGATTGTTCTTTCTAGGTTTATACTATAGTAGATTTGGAGTTAGAGAGGATAGTACATTAAGAGGGAGTCTATGTGTTTCTTACTTTAGAACTCAATCTATATGGTGGAATTCTTTCAATCTCAGGTTGATTGAAAGAAGACTGGATGTAGGCTTGGCCAAACCAGTATATATCTTTGTGTGACTTTCTCTATCCCTTTACTCTTACATTGTTATTTATTCTTTATCACTTGCATTCCAAGAAAGGTTCAAAGATTTTGAAAAGAGTTTTAAAAGAACAAATTTTATAAAGCAAAGTCAATTCACCTCCCTCTTGGTTGAGAAACTTGACCTACTATTTTCTACAATTATTATTAGAGATGACAATGTTGGGTGGCTTGCAAGCCTGCAAAAAAAATGTAAAGTGGGTTGAATAATTTAGCACACTAGCTCGCTTTGGCCCATCCCACATAACTTGTAGCCTATGTGATCCAACAACGGTTGACCTACATTTGGCTACATAACTCGAATCAATTGAAATTCCTAAAATCTAGCAACATCAGCATAACATATTGTGTGTGTTTCTTTTAGTCAACTTGCTCATTCATCCTCATTCATTCACATTCACTTCATCTAAAAGTAATTCCTTCATTTGTGTTTATTTCCTTATTTAATTATAGTTCAAAGTCATTTCTATTTTTAACAGTAGTTAAAAATTAGAAATTATAAAATTACGAATATTACTTATTTTAAGAAATATGCTTATAGAATTATAATTTCTATTAATTTAATCAAATAAAAATAAAATTATTAAAATCTTGCACCTAATATTTTACAAAAAGAAATTACAGAAACAAATAATTTCTTATGTTAGTCGCCGATAAGTTCGCAAACCTATAGACCAAATGTTACGTGGGATGGGTTAAAGAAATTAGCTCACATTTTCTTATGGGAGACGGGTTAACCAAACCTACTTTTAGCATCCCAATGTAGGGCATGCCAAAATGGGATGCTTCGACCCTGTTGCCATCCCTAATTATTATAATTATAATAGTTAAAAATTAAAGTATATGTATATATTGACAAACAAATAAAATAAATATTTAAACTATTCAAATATTATTAAACAATATTATAGTATTTAAAAAAATTAAACTGCAAGCCTATATAATTAGAATTAGTGAATAATTATAATAAAAAACCTATAAAAATGGTAAGAATTCTGATAAAATATGTTATTAGTGAGTTATGATTTAATCCAACTTTAATATCACTTAAACTAGTTTAATTTGTAGAATAAATGAGTCATGTTTAATTCAATCCACTATTTAAGAAAGGTTTAATATTTTGGAGGTCCCTATTTCTGCATATTCGTATCAATTGGTTCCTCGTATTTTGAAAGTTCTCAATTGGGTCCCTATTTTGGTAAAATTGAGTCAATAATGCTCTTGTCGTTAATTGTTGTGGACGTCGTCAACTTCTTTTTTGCCTAGTGGCATGTTGAGGTATCCTTTAATAACCACGTGACATAGTGAGGTGTCATTACGTGGATTTATTTTAAGTAGGAATGGAAAACAATTTAGACGTGGTCGGCCTAGTGGTCGATCTGGTGGTCGGCCACTCGGCCTAGTGGTCGGTATGGTGGTCGACCACTCAACTTGGTGGTCAGTACGGTGGCCGGTCGGCCTGGTGGGTGGTCAACCTGGTGGTCGGTCGGCCTGGAAGGTGGTCAGTCTAGAGTTCGCCATGGTGGGTGGTCGACCTGGTGGTCGGCCACTTAGTCTGGTGGTCGGTCTCCAGGCCGCTGACCACCCACCAGACCGACCGACCAACAGGCTGAACTCGAGGCCGACCACCCACCAGGACAACCGACCAACAGGCCGAACTCGAGGCCGACCACCCACCAGGACAACCGACCACCAGCCCTAGTGGCCGACCAACCTTCCGACCACCAGGCCGACCACGTCTAAATTGTTTTCATTCCTACTTAAAATAAATCCACGTAATGAGACCTCACTATGCCACATGGTTATTAAAGGATACCTCGGCATGCCATCAGGCAAAAAAGTTAACGTCGTCTAGAACAATTAACGGCAAGAACATTATTGACTCAGTTTTACTAAAATAGGGACCCAATTGAGAACTTTCAAAATACGAAAATCCAATTAATACAAATATGCAGAAATAAAGACCTCCAAAATGGTTAAACCTTTAAAAAAATTGAAAATTTCATCATGGAATAATGATAAATTGAGTTCACTCACTGTTAAAACATGATATCTCTAATTAAATATTTTATAATTTAATTTATGGATTAACATGATTTTTAATAACAATTTGAGGACGAAAAAAATATATAACTTTTAATTTTATTTATCATTTTGGTCTTTAGTTGTACCAGTAATAAATAGGTTTAAACCCTCCCTTGGTCCTCAAGTTTGTATGGAAATCTCAGTTTGGTCATCATCTTTTTTTCTGTTTCAATTGGATCATATTTTTTGTAAAAATGAGCACATTGTACCATAACCGTTAAGTGGTGTGAGACGGCGTTAAATTCATGTGAGCTGGATTTTTTCATTTACCGACGTGGCATTGTGCACTAAAATTGAAAGGCCACGTGGTGATGTTTTGACTAGAACCAGATCTTCTCCTCCCTCCCCCTCTGCTTCCTTCCATCGGCGCCACCCACCATCTACAACACAATCACATACCACTGGAAAACACGGACCATGTAGCCAGTTGGCATTCCTAGATTCTTGTAGGAAAAGATATCCCTCTCTGACATATGAGGTTCGTGTGCTTGAGAAGGAACTTGAGATCCGGAATGAGGAGAGGGATATCCCTCTTTGACTTTGAGAGGTCTGAAATGTGATCAGACATTGGAAGCTTATATGATGCAACGTTACTTATATGATGTTGTACACTTAAATGCCCTTTATGTAAATCTTCAATCTGCGACTCAAGATGCAAAAGTTTGGAATTGATTTTTGTAATGGGAGTCTCAGGAGAAGTGTCAACTGAAGATTCAACCAGTAAACTGTTGGTGCTCAATTTGCTCCTCCTTATTTCAAATGAATCTCGTCCCAACATTTCAACTTCATTTTTCATTTTTGCCAGGGCAGCAGGACCTGGTAACCGTTTCCGGACCAGAAGCCGCAGCCTCTGACATTCTAATTCTAACTTGGCAATTTTTTTGGTACTCTCTAATCCCTCTCTGGCATGTGAATGATTTCGATCTGTTTGACTTTGATTCAAGCAGAGGCTTTGGTGGGTGGCGCCGATGGAAGGAAGCAGAGGGGGAGGGAGGAGAAGATCTGGTTCTAGTCAAAACATCACCACGTGGCCTTTCAATTTTAGTGCACAATGCCACGTCAGTAAATGAAAAAATCCAGCTCACATCAATTTAACGCCGTCTCACACCACTTAACGGTTATGGTACAATGTGCTCATTTTTACAAAAAATATGATCCAATTGAGACAGAAAAAAAGATGATGACCAAACTGAGATTTCCATACAAACTTGAGGACCAAGGGAGGGTTTAAACCTAATAAATAATATTAATTAATATTAAATAAATGTTTTAATTTATAATTCTAAAGAAATAAATAGCTCAAAATTTTAATTATAAATCAATAAATGCTTTTAAGTTTTTTAATTATAAAGCTATAACTTCCTTAAAGATTTTTAAAAATTATAAATAATGAATTTAACACGCATTAATATTTTATTTTAAAGTAATAAATGCTTTAATTAATTGTTATCATATCTTTAAATAATTATATCATTATAAACTAAAATCAGAAAGTATTCTTTTAAAAGCTTTATCAGTGGATACTCTAAGAATATTTCCTATTTAAATATAATTTATGTATGTATGTGTTAATTTTCTTTTTTAAATTTCTCACAGATTTATTTTAAATAAAAATTAAATAAATAATAAGGTGTATATAAACATAAACAATTACTTTGTAAGCAATGTAGTAAAATATTAAAAAATGAATTATTTAATAAATATAAATATAAATAAAGTCCAATCCACTCAATTTTATTTAATATTATTATTTTTGAAAATATAATTATATTTAAATCTGACACCATTCCAATAAATAGGATTAATAACAAGTTAAAAAAAGTGTTTCTATATTTCAGGAAAAAGAGAAAAAAACAAAATAAAATTGTGGGGGGGGCCGAAATCGGCACACAACCCAGGAAGCCAAAACGCCGTGTGGCAATTAATTGAGAAGTAATTTTGGGATGAATAATTAAAAAAAAAAAGGAAAAGAAAGGAAAATGGGCACAGCAACAGTTTGGTGGAGAGCGAGAGCTATAAGTGCAGGAGTAGGAAGCGATTGGAGGTTGTCCGAAGCCAGAATCCGGAAAACGTGCATTAGTGTGTCAACGAGAAGTAGTTGCTGTTCATCGCCACTAACACTAATCGTTTCTTCAATGCCTTATGAGAAGGAACTCGCCGCTGCAAAGAAAGCAGCCACTCTAGCCGCTCGTCTCTGCCAGGCACTCATCCGCAATTTCTCTTTACTATCGCCATTTTCATAAACAAAAGAAAAACCCTTGTTTTTCGTTTAATTGAAATTCTAAACTAGTTTTATTAATTACCAATGGATGCTGATTTATTCTTCTTTGCATGCTCTGTGCAGAAAGTTCAGAAAGCTCTTCTGCAATCCGATGTCCACTCAAAGTCAGACAAAAGTCCCGTTACAGTGGCCGATTATGGTTTGCTATTTTAGTCCTGTTACCATTGTGTTTGGTGTTAACGTTGAATCGGTTTTTGTGCAAATGCTCACATTGACAAGTTAATTGTAGTTGGAAAATGAGAAGTTTAGTTGTTAGTTGACCGAGTAGAATTAGTGCTGATTGTGTATGATGTTATGCTCTTGGACTAGTTGTTACGGGTACTTTTACCGGTTGGATTATGTTTACATAATTAGAAGCTGAAGAATGGGAGCGGTGTAAGCTTTTTAGTTTTCTTCACAAATCCTTGCCATATTTTTTCAGATGTATAATCCAGGGTTACTGATTTGATCAGAACATTTCGTGCATGTTGTGTAGTTTATCAGCTCTAATTCAAGTGGCTTTGTTGTTCCAGTGCTTTGAAATAAGTTGTTGTTCCTTGTGTCCAGTTCTGAGTTTTTCGCACTCTCAAAATTTGTTTATTTTTTTCCTTATAATAGTTATAGATTATGTGTCCTGTTAATATTCAACTAATTCAGTTTACAAGAATGAGCCAGCAAATTTTACCAGTATCATTGTAGTTTTGAAATCTTTTGCATTTCTTCAACGAGAGTAGGGGAGTTGTTCTTTAATAATATTTCTACAAATACAAGCTCTACACCAGTGACTTAATAGTCGTAGCATGCTTGTTTTAAACCATGCATTGAAACTCTCTTTTAGTTGAAAAATTGTGATGATTAGCTAGTATAAGCCAATTGTTGTAAGTCATGTTTGATGATTTACTATGTATTACCCAAGGTTGGCTGGTGTAAAGCATATTTCCTTACAGGACAGACATGAAGAAAGACCTTTCACTTGTATAAATTTGCTTCTATGTTATGATAGGCAAGTATGCAACTATAGCAGATGTTTTGTTTGTCTTCCCTCACTAATTTATATATCTCCTTCACATCATGTATTGTTCTGCTACGTGTCTCCATATTCTAATAATCATTTTGCTTGGACGCAAAGAGGACCTAATTATAGTTAGCTCAACCAGAAGGTTCTTGGGAAAATTGTTCTCACATAAAAACTGGTCCTTATGCACATTAGTTGAAATTCCTGCTACCACCACCTCAATAAATAGTGGATCTTCCATATGTTCTTTCTAATGTGGCGATTTAAATTGCTTCTACAAACATTTTTTGAAAGATCTTGTAATATTTTGGGCTTGTGCTTTCATTGCCTATAATATGGATCATTTGTGAAAAAGAAAGTTATTTACAATTTTAGCTGTAATTTTTTTCATTTTATATTATTTGAGTTGTTAAACTTGTTCATTGAGGTTTAGATGAAGCTTCAATCACTTCAATTCACTTCAAATAAATCAGGTTGCTTTCTTGTGGTTTACAGGTTCACAGGCATTGGTCAGCTTTATACTTGAGAGAGAGCTTCTTTCTGAACCATTTTCAATAGTAGCCGAGGAGGTGAAATTGTAAATTCTTACAGGTTTTTTGGACATGTAGACTTTGCCTTCATTTCCGTGCTTGAGTATAAAATCCAATTTTAAAAAATCAGGATTCAGGGGATCTTCGTAAGGAAAGTGGCCAGGAAACACTGAAGCGCATTACAGAACTTGTCAATGATACTCTTGCTAGTGAAGGATCAGATAGCTTTCCTACTTTAACAACAGATGATGTGCTTGCGGCCATTGACAATGGTAAGTCTGAAGGTGGTCCAGTTGGACAGCACTGGGTTTTGGATCCGATAGATGGTACAAAAGGGTGAGTATTATTTTTTTACAAAAAAATCCATTCTGAAGTAAATTGTTTACTGTTTGTCGAATTTCATTATATTATTTTTCTAAAAAATGTTATGTTCTTGCAGCACGAATATGTTTGTAATATCTCATTTGAAACATATATGAATTTATCTAGTATTATTAATCTGATTATTATCTGAGATTGCAGTTCTCATTCAACATCTTATATTGTTTAAGAAGTGTGGACAAAATAATTGTTGAAATCCATCGACTATCACTTCAAAGTTCCAACCAACATATAGCTGTAATGGTGATTTTAATTTTGAAAGACATTATTTATTACCTGGCACGGTGAAATTGACTATCTAAAGGACCATTTAATTTGAGAATTGTTTTCTGTTTTCATTTTATATTTCATTTTTAATTAAAAGAAGGCCACCTTCTTTTCATTTAACTTCCCGTTTTCAAAAGTTTGTAAGGTAAACAGGAAAAAACAACTTCTTATTTTCTACTTTCATTTTCTTTTGTCACCAATTCTTGTACCAACTTTTAAAATCAGGAAACAAATGAAACATAAAATGATAATAAAAAACCTTGAAATCTATTTTTTTACTCATAAAAATTTGATAATATAAAATATTAGTATATTAGTATTTACTTTTATATTCTTTAGTTGTCAAATTAATTGAACATTTGATTAAATAATTATTTTTCTTCGTTATTTCCAGTTTTACTGTCGATATTTTTATACCATTTGTTTCACTTGCATTGTCACTTATGGAGATCGTGTCATTGAGTAGCTCATGCTTCTGAGATAACATAATAGGTTTGTAAGAGGAGACCAATATGCTATAGCATTAGGTTTGCTACATGAAGGAAAAGTTGTATTGGGTGTCTTGGCTTGTCCAAATCTTCCACTGGCATCCATTGGCTCTAATCAGCTTCATTCTTCAAATGAAGTTGGTTGTCTCTTCTTTGCTAAAGTTGGTGAGGGAGCATATATTCAAGCACTGGGTGGTTCTACACAAACTAAGGTTGATGCTTGCAAATTTTTTTCATACTTGTCACTTTGGTAATGTCATTTGACAGTTGTGCCATGTCCAAATGATCATGCAGGTCCATGTTTGTGATGTTGATAATCCAGAGGAAGCATCATTTTTTGAATCTTTTGAAGCAGCACACTCCTCGCATGACTTGTCTAGCTCCATTGCAGAAGTAATGTTATTTCTATAGTTAGCACATTTGTCTTTTTCATTGTTTTTTAGCTTTTTCTCTTAGCTCTCGTAGATTTAATTACACACAATTCTTTAACGTTACTTAATTAACAGAAACTTGGTGTCAAAGCACCACCAGTCAGAATTGATAGCCAAGCAAAATATGGAGCTCTATCAAGAGGAGATGGGGCTATATATTTGCGTTTCCCTCACAAAGGATACCGTGAAAAAATATGGGATCATGCTGCTGGAAGCATTGTTGTGACTGGTATTATTTTTCATTAGTTTTTCCTTCCTGTTCTGAAGTATTTCTTTTAATGAACAATTTGACCAATCTTTTCTTGGTAAACATGCTCTGCTTAAAATGAGTGTTATAACTGTCCAGAATTGGTCATAAATAACATTTGGCCTATGTTCATGTTTATCAAGTCCATGTCCTGGTTAAAACTTAACTTGGATCTGGACTCTCTTCAAATTCATTTAGAATATAGGATAGGTTTATGGAATGTTTTAATGTTTTCTATTATAAAGTAAGACTTTAAGCCTAACTTACTTTCACAAAACTAGCTTATAAGTTAACATTTGCATCAATTTGCATATTATAATTTGGTCATATCTCCAGTTGTTGTATTGATGTGAGATCATGTTAGGTTTCCGTAGTTGAAAACCTAATTTCCCTTCTATCGCGAGTCTCAACAAAAACACAAAGCAGAAGAATGAATGAAACGTATTGATTTATTTGCACATTAACAGTATCAAAAGTCAATGTACAAGTATGGATGTAAGTATGGATAACTACGGGAGCCTAATCCCCCTCCTCAGGCTAAAGGTCTGAGTATACGAGTAAAATATAACCTAATCCCACAGACTGACAATTATTCTATTTATAATAGGTTCTTTCCACCCAAAACCGTTAACATAGTTATGCTTTCCATTGTTCAACCGAACGACTATTGTTCAACCGAATGGCTACTTCACCATCTCCCTCAACCGTTCGGCTTTCACCTTATGCCCCACCCGTTCGGTGTTCGCCTCACGCTCCCACTTCTTGTGACCGCTCGGTCCCTGCTGCTCCCCCTGCATGTGACCGTTCGGTCCTTTCTGCTCCTTCCGCGTCGCCCTTAGCCGTTCGTTTCTTTCTTCTCTCAAACTTTCCAGCTCCTATCAGATCACCAATGCACCCTCTGATGTAGTGAACTTAACATCTTAAGTGTAGAACTAGATATTTGTGAGTAGTCCGAGAGTGGGTGACATGATAGATCTAATAATCCATGTTAAGAAAGGATTTATACTATCTTAGAAAATGAACTTTAAGTTTAACTCAATCTTTTAAAAGCAGTTTATAAAGTGAGGTTTGCTCTCACTTATGTAATATAATTTGATCATATATATAATGTCCTACACTTTCCTTGTCGTAGGTAAAGTTTATACATTTTAACAAATTTAGGAGCTTGGCAACTTTTATAAACCTTTTTTCTTTGTGATTATTAATGCTTTTAGCATGTTGCACCCTGGAACTTGATGCCAAGGAACTCTAAATATGAAGTTTAAACTAACCTTGTTTGATAAGTTCTAAGCCATTTCCATCATTAGTTTGTGGTAATGAATTTTAACACCTTGAAGGGAAATAATGAAGGCTTTCAAGGAAAAGATAACGCTGGTCTCAAATGTGATGTTAATGGAACATAAATTTTGATTTCTAGGATTAAGTTTACTTCATTGTGAAATTCAATGATAGTTGAATCTTTATAAGTATTTTAGGGGTTATGGTTCAATTTGATTTGCAGTTAGGAAAGTGATAGATATTTGTGGGGGGAATCGAAACGTTGTATGCACTCATTGTCATTTCCCTTTAATGGGAAGACACTTGATGTTTCTTAAATAGAATGAAAACAAGAAGAAAAACTGCAAAGTAAAGAAAAATATTTGTAAGGGAGTAGGTACTATAAGATTGCTGAAGATTTGCTTGTTGAGAGGAGTGCGGTTTTGAATATTCTGTGTGTGGATTTAATATTCCTGCGCACCAAGCACAACTCTTCATTACAGTGATGACATTATCTCATGGATGAGCTATATATTCCTATCTCTTGTTTTTTGAATGACTTATGTACGCATAATATTGGAGTCTACTGGTAATTGTGACTTTCATTGGCAATGAACTAATATTTAGGTTCGTGCATTGCTTAGATTGTGGAATGTGTCTTCTAATCTTCTATAAATGCGATTGGACTTTTGTAGAAGCTGGAGGTATCGTCACGGATGCTGCGGGGAATCCTTTGGACTTTTCAAAAGGAAAGTTTCTCGATGTTGTTTCTGGTATTATTGTTACAAACCAGAAATTAATGCCATCGCTTCTAAGAGCAGTTAAAGAAGCACTCAATGAGAAAGCATCATCCTTGTGATTTCCATTAAGCTTGTTTACTTTGTGGTCGGTTCATTATATGGGACCTTCTCCTCAATGTGCTATATTTCCTTCGTGATCTGAAGAACATGATTGGAAATGCTCTCATTTCCTCTTTGAAGCAGATTTCTGCTCTTGTTTTTTCTCTGCTAGTCTTTTCCTGACATGTACTTTTCTTTTTCTATTATTTTCTATCAATAAGCAGAGATCTTCGTTTAAATATGCTTGATAATTAATTCTTCTAGATTAACTTGTCAGAGGTGATATGATTTCAATGCATAGTTGATCCAAAAGTACCCTAAAATTTAGTGAATATCAGTATAATAAGGAAAGTATCGCAATCAGAGGCCTCGTATATCACAATCTGAGTTTGTTTTGCAGCAAATATGAACTTGGAAGCATGGAAATGCCAACTCTTGAATATGGCCTGAAAAGGTATATTGTTTATTCCAAGGATAGTGTATAAACTTTAAGGTAAACAATTTAGTGCCTGTTTATGTTTCCCACAATGTTATAATAAATACAGGATTATGAAATATTCTTTGGAAAGTTTTAAAGGAAAATAAGCGGTTGAAGATGAAATTTCATATCTATTATGCTTGTTTTGGGTGAAATTCTTGGAGAACTGTTGCTAATTTATCAGTCTCACCTTTGAGGTTTCAATGGAGATCAATGCAAGTGATACACTTGAATGGGTTAGCGCAAGAGGATTGATGATCAATTAAGGTAATGGGATTTGCAGCGTGAAGAGAGATAAAAGTACTGTAGCTGACACATAAGTGACGCCGGATGTGCGGATTTTTCCAAAAAGTGAAAAAAAACTAAGCCACAGTGTAGACTTAAAATGAAAAACATCAATTGCCCCGTCGATTTTACATTTTCTTGTTTAAAATATAAATCTTTCAGAAAGAACAAAAAATCAAACTTAAAAATATTAAAAAATACATTTTCTATACAGTGTTTGGATTTTGGATTTGAGGGAAGGAGAGTTAATGAATTTGGGAGATGGAGAAGGTACTGTGGTGTTGTTTGGATCAGGCCTAGTGCCGGTGATTTGCAGGATTGCAGGGAAGAGATCCATGACCCAATTGAAGCGTTTTCGCTGAGGAAGCCACGTCATTGCAGTGAAAATTACTTATTTGACCCTTCGCTTGCTGTTTATTTTTCCTGTTCTATTTATTGTTCATGGTCGTGTGATCCCACGGTGGTGGCGGTGCTGGTTTCCCGGGGTTGTTGTGGTGTCATGGTGGGTGTCTTGATGTCGTGGTGGAGGAGTTGTTCTGAAGGTGGTGCTCCTGCGGTGGTGGTGACGATGAAGCCTTTAGCAACTGTGTCGGTGGTCGGAGACGAAACTTCACCGTGGCTGAGTGGTGGGCCAAGAAAGTAGGCGAAAAAGAAGAAAATTATCTGAAACAGGAAGAAGCCCTGAGATAAGAATAATAATGTCATAAAATAATAATATAATAAAATAAATAATAATCAATCATATTTTTGTAACTTTAGATATCATTTACTATTTCCATTTAAATTTATACTACATTTATGTATAATAGTAATAATATAGTCTTATTCACTAAAACATTTTTTAATCTATCATACTTATTACATTATATACGAATTTTCATAGACTTTCATTTCAAATCCATTCAAATTATATAATTATTTTAATCCAAACAATTTCATCTTAACATTTGTTTTCTCTTAAATTAACATATCCGTATTCAAATTCAAACATATAATAAGAGATTTGAAATAAAAGTTTTAAAATAAAAGTTTCTAAGAGTTTATAAATAATACGATGTGCGATAAATTAAAAAATTATTTTAATTGATTAAAATATATAATTATTAAGTTATCCTTATTAAATAAATGCAATATAAATTTAAATATAAGTATTAGAAATTATATTAAAATAAAAATGAATGTTATTTATAATTTAAAAAGATTAAAAAAATAAAATTAAAAGTTATAAAAGGGTTTCTAGAAATAAATTTTAAATACATTTTTTAAATAATAATTTGCATATTATTATTTAAATTATTTTAAAACAAGTATATCAAATAAAAATTTATACAATCATCATAAAAATTAATAATATTATTATTTTATTATTATTATTAATTATATTAATTCTATTATTTTATTAACTTTTTTGGAGTGTAAAATTTTAAATAGGTTAAAACTTAAAAATAAAATATTGGAGGTGTGCATGAGAATGAGAGGTGGATGATATAAAGATGGGGTGTTGACAGTAAGGTTGGCATAGCCCAAGCTCTATTTTATCTCTTTTTCCTTCACGACCCTGAAGGTAAGTCATCCCATTTCCTTCAATTAGATTCACTATGGGCGAGTGAATACTGACAATGTCACTAGTGAAGGTGTTTTGGTGTACAATAAATATCCTCGTATCTCACCATAATGTGTTGTTACCAATTAGGAGCATTGGTGTCTTGAAGATATTATGATTTTAATGATGCTACAAGATGAAGAACTTGAAGACTCTTGTTATATTCACTTTAAAAGCATTTTGTAAAATAAATTGTATAGGAATATCTTTATTGATGTAAGAACTCTTAGAAGTTTTTCTGTCTAGAGAAAGTTTGCGCAAATAATCGATTATTTGGTGTAATAATCGATTATCACGAGCCAAAGTAGAAAGAGATTGCTCGCGCAAATAATTGATTATCTCACAGGATAATCGATGATCACTGTTTGATTTAATATTGTCCAAGTTGTGCAAATAATCGATTATTCCTCAGAATAATAGATTATCACTTCTTGAAAAATCCATAACGAACACAAATAATCGATTATCACTTTTGATAATCGATTATCACTGGTAGTTGGGAGATGTCTTTTCAGTTTCTAACCCTGCACGAACCTAGGCTTATAAATAGATGTCTTCACAACTCTTAGAACTTAACCTTTCATTTGAGAGTATTAGAGTTGTGTGCCTAAAGGAAGCTCTCTGTGAGTGAAAAGGGAACTAAGTCATTTGAGAATACAAAATTTGTCTAAGGAAGTTCTCAAGTGTCAGTTTGCTTATATCAAGTCTTGTGAATAGGAGAAGCTTGCGCTTAGTGGGTATAAGGTCGAAGCGGTTCTCTTCAAGTTGATTGAGCAGGTTCTTCCCTTCGTTTGTCGAAGGAAGGTGTTTTCTGTTCTTACTCTTTATTTCATCCTATTGTAATCTGTGAACAATATTTTAGTGAAAAGTTAATCACTATTTATAGTGATTAACGACTGGACATAGAATCTTTTTATTCAAACTAGGATAAATTTTTTTGTGTTGATAAAAGTCTTAAAAATCTTTTTAGCACTCAAACTGTTTGATAAAGTCTTAAAAGAAAATCAAGATTTAAATAAAAAAACCATTTTATCTTAGCTATTGACCGTAACACACTCTTCCGCTCTAAAAACAATTTCCGTTGCGCGAGACGCTGGTACCTACATGTGTGAATTCTTCCATTCTACTCTCATGCACTTTGAAATTCATTCAAAAATATTGAAACAAACTTAGTAGGAACTCTAGATCTTCCTCACACTTATCCTTTAATAATGTCACACCCTCAAACAAACAAACTTAGTTTACTTTTTACTTTTCATGACTAAAATTTAATATACTTCACAGAGATACTTTGACAATGGTGATCGGTGCACAATCCTCATATCCATACCTATGGAGAAAAGCATTGAGATACGTATCATATCATATGTCATTATGAAGAAGAGGAAGAAACATAAAAGCACTATATGTATATTATTAAAATGAATGTACTATTACAAAAAGAGAGATACAAGTATATATATATATATATATATATATATGG